TTTGGGTTACTTGAGCAAGTTTCCAGATCCTTAACTACTTCTTGCCCTGGTTCCCTAATTGATCTGACAACAGTGTGGATAAAGGGTCAAGCTGGTTTTCAGTTTCCCTCCCTCTTCCTAAGGCTCTCGTCTCCCACTTCCCAGAAGGAAGGCATCCCTGTCATCTACCCTCAGCCTAACTAAAGTGCCCAGTTGGGGCAGCCTGGGTGGGTCAGCAGTTTGGCGCCGCCTTGGGCCCAGGGCATGATCCTGGGGTCCCGGGACCAAGTCCCATGCTGGGCTCCCTGCAGGGAGCCTGCTTCTCCCTTTGCCTGTGTCTCTGCCTCTCTCTCTCTTTCTCTCTCTCTCTGTCTCTCATGAATAAATAAATTAATCTAAAAATAATAATAAAAAATAAAGCGCCCAGTCCCCAAGAAGGGATGGGCGGGGGCGGGGGGGGGGTGATCCTGGGGCACCAAACAAAGGGACAAAAGGAGATATCCATGCCTGCAGTGAGAATGTGAATGACTAATGACAGTATAGCCAGTCCTGATAAATCGGGTCATTTCCCTCGCATTGTCTTAAGCAAAATTAGAGGACATAATTGAATTGCTCATTACTAGCTCATTAAAGTTCATTTAACAGAACATCACTAAATGATTTCTGACATATTATGCTGAAGGAATTAAAAGAATTGAACGGTATCCGTGTGATAAAACTCCTTCCAGACCATCTACTGATCTAGGTGAAGCTGGTCTCTCAGAAGACGCATCCTTTTTATAACCATTATTAAAATGAGTATAGATTCCCTGGCAGTTGTAAAGATAATACAGAGAGATCTGATGCACCCTTCACCCAGTTTCGCCCAGTGATTAATCTTATGTAGGTATAGGACAATATCAAAACAGGAGGGATCCCTGGGTGGCTCAGCAGTTAAGCGCCTGCCTTCAGCCCAGGGCATGATCCTGGAGTCCTGGGATCCAGTCCCACATCGGGCTCCCTGCAGGGAGCCTGCTTCTCCCTCTGCCTGTGTGTCTCCCTCTCTCTCTGTGTGTCTCTCATGAGCAAACTAAAAAAAAAAAAAAAAAAAAACAGGAAACGGACACCAGTGCAATGTGTGTGTAAAGCTCTATGTCATTTTCATACTTGCACAGATTCACATCACCACCACCACAATCAAGGTCCAGAACTATTCCCTCACCATGAAGATCGTCCTTATACTGTCCCCTGACGGTCACATCCACCCCTACTACCCCACCGTCCTCAACCCCTGATAACCACCCGTCTGTTCTCCATCTCTATAATTCTGTCATTTCAAGAATGTTATATAAATGGAATAATACAGTATTTTACGTTACCACATTGGCTTTTTTTTAGTATTCAGGATGCCCTTGAGATCCATCCAAGTTGTCACATGAATCCAATTTTTTTGTATGCTGATGCATACATCTTTCTATATGAAGAACAGGGCTAGAACTGATGCCAAAGCCTGATTCATTCTAGCAATAAGTAATTTTTATTACCAACAAGATAAACTCAGTGTCACCAAAAAAGCATCCATCTCATGAAGATAGGTACTTTTGATAAAATTACTTTTTATGTTTAATAGCTGTCAATATTTTTGTTCTTTTGGGACACCTGGGTGGCTCAGTGGTTGAGCATCTATCTGCCTTTGGCTCAGGGCCTGATCCCAAGGTCCTGGGATCGAGTCCCACATCACAGGGAGCCTACTTCTTCTTTTTCTTCTTCTTTTTTTTTAAAAGATTTTATTTATTCATGAGAGACACACAGAGAGAGAGAGGCAGAGACAGAAGTAGGCTCCATGCAGGGAGCCCGATGTGGGACTCGATCCCGGGACTCCAGGATCACACCCTGGGCTGAAGATGGCACTCAACTGCTGAGCCACGGGTGCTGCCTAGGCTAGGGAGCCTGCTTATCCCTCTGCCTATGTCTCTGCCTCTCTCTCTCTCTCTGTCTCTCATGAATACATAAATAAAATCTTTAAAAAATATATTTTTGTTCTTTTAATCAATTAAATACTACTGACCATTGTAAATTAATCCAAATTAAGGAAAATTTAGACCTTATAACTTATTTCACAGGAAATGGAAAATATTTCAATTTAGATAACTTAATTGGACAGAAATAGTAGGTGATCAACAGAAGGTCTTAAAGCATGTTTTAGGAAGAATTCTGTAGGGGATATGGAATAGAAGTATAATTTGAAGGGGGAAATGGTGCCAATTTCTGACTGCTAAAGAGATGGTTTAGTGCTTTGTAAATGGACAAAGATGGATTTTTTTTTTCAAAGATGGATTTTAAATCTCTGGGGTATTTAGGTTCCATCAGACACATTTGTGAGTGATCCTAGAGGCTTGTTTTATGGTAAGAACACCTAACATGAGATCTACCCTCTAAACAAATTCTTATGTGTACAGTATAGACTGTTAACTACACACTCAACAAAGTGATTTAAGAGTTTTACTTGAAAATGTCAGTATCTCCAATATGAGAGGAATTACATCTTTTGCAACAACCTAACATGAAAAATAGTTTTTAGGGACACCTGGGTGGCTCAGTGGTTGAGCTTCTGCCTTCAGCTCAGGTCATGATCCTGGGGTCCTGGGATTGAGTCCCACATTGGGCTCCCTGCAGGGAGACTGCTTCTCCCTCTGCCTATGTCTCTGCCTCTCTCTCTGTGTCTCTTATGATAAAAAAAAAAAAAAAAAAAAAAAGTGTAACTAGAGATGGCAATCCAAGGGTTGGGGAAGCCCTGGATGGTTAGGAGGGGAGGGCAGGGGAGGAGGGGTGATGGAGGCAGGGGTTTCCCACAGCTCATATTTAATTGATGGACCTCTGGCAGGAGATGGATGGGGGAAGGGGAGCCACTCACATGAGAGACCATAGAGTAGAAAGGCCAACCTCCAGATGGCCAGAGAGCAACATGGGACACAGTCACCATCAAAGTCTTGACAGTGATCCTCTGAGGGACACATGTGTCATCACTGTGTCACAGATGAGAATACTAAGGCACACAGAGGTTAAACTATTGTTGGAAGTTGCATAGCTGGGAAGCAGGGGAGCAGGGTATGGGCCAAGCCATCTGGCTTGAGTTGGCACTTCGATGCTCCATGCTGATGCGTAGGGCACAACACCCCCTGGTGAGGCAGAGGCATCACCAAAACTTCAGCTAGGTCTCCTACAACTCTACTCCAGCCTGAAGGATGAAAAGTCAATTAAGCAAAAGGTGGGGACCTGAGAGCGAGGAGCGATGCCCGGGAGGAAGAAAGAACTGGGGCCAGGATTCTAAGATGGACAGCAAAGGGCACCACAGTGGCGGTTGGTCAAATGACTTCCCAGTGGACTCTGCCTCCCTGACATTGCTGGGAGCTATGGAAGGAAGCCCAGTTCAGTGATGAGGCCCAGAGGCCCTGAGCGGGTTGGGATGGGGTGGAGTGGGGTGGGGGTGGGGGTGCTGGAGCGAGGCAAGCCCACCCTGGGGCAGCTCCTCCCTGAAGACAGCATCCCGGCCACACACCCACTTTGGAAGCAGCTGGGATTTGGTTTTGTTTTGATTATTTTTTTCTTACTGGGGTAAAATAGGCTCAACATAATATTTACCATTTTAACTATTTGTAAGTGTACAATTCAGTGGCATTAAGTACATCCACCGTATTTTACAACCATCACCAACATCCATCTCTAGAACATTTCATCATCCTAAACCCGAACTCCATACCCCTTAAACAACTCCCAGATCTCCTGTACCCCAGCCCCTATTATCTCTATTCTATTTCTGCGTCTCTGAATCGGCCTATTCTGGGTACCTCGTCGTAAGTGGAGTCATGCAGTGTTTGTCCTCTTGTGACTGGCTTATTCCATTTAGCATCACGTCTTCACGGTTCATTCATGTTGTAGCATGTAGTGTAAATACCTGGCATTAAGCTTTTGATGCTGAGGCATTCATTTTAAAAGACATTCCTTTTGAATAAACATGTTGCCAGCTATATGACAGGGCTATGAGCAAAACGACCAGAGGAGCTGGGCCTCCCTACCCATGATGCTCCTTTTATGGAAACCCTGAACTGCCGAGATACCTGGCCACTTGAGTGACCCTGCCTCCACTCTCCTGTGCCCCAATTCCCGCTCTGATGCTTCAAATTAGCCACTAGTCAGCCCACCCTCTGACCCTAATATAGGCAGAGCCCCAGGTCCATGCTCATCTCTCAGCACAACCGACAGAACATAATGTGCATCAGAACCTCGTTTTTCTTAAGGTATGGATGTATCTTCTTCGCCTCTCCATTCACCTGTTGATGGACATTTGGGCTGTCTCTACCTTTAGCTATTGTGAATACCATTGCTCTGAATGGTGCACAAGTATCTGTTTGAGTCCCTGTTTTCAGTCCTGTTGTCTACACTCCCAGCAATGGAATTGCTGAATAATCATGGTAGCTCCAAACGAAACTCTTTTCCACAATGGCTGCACCATTTCCCATGCCCACCAGCAATGCACAAGGGTTCCTGTTTCTCCACATCCTCGCCAATACTCCTTATTTGTGGAGGTTATTTTTTTTTAAAGGTTTAATTTTTAAGTAATGCTTACACCCAATGTGGGGCTCGAACTCTCAACGCTGAGATCAAGAGTTGACTGTTTTACTACCTGAGTCAGCCAGACACCCCTCCGTGGGGAGGTTTTTGGGCTCTTCACATCAGCCTGCACTTCAAGGGGTTGGAATGAGAACCAGCAGTGGTGAGGTCCTTGCTTAGGGACCCATCAGCTTCGCTGAAGAGATCAGAAAGCCCCAGGGTATTTCTTATTGCATCTCCCTGTTCAATGCACTGGCACCTGGCTCCTCCTATCTGGCTCCACAAAGCTCAGGAACACTGTTTCCTCTTCTTGCCTCTACTTAACCCTCTCTTTGCCTCTATTATCATTACCGGTCTAATGGGTCTTTACTATCGCTCTCTGTATCCATTATCCCTGCAGTGCCACTTTGTAAATAGATGCTGTGTTAAAGTATTTCCACAATTCCATTTGAGTGCGCCTTCAGCTTAAGAAAGCTCTGCCCATGGACAAAGGCAGAAAGGGGTCACAGGAGTGAGGTATTTCTCTTTTATTAAATCACTAACATGTAGTGTTCTTGATGTCAGTGAGATCAAAGAGAGAAAATGGAGCCATGTGGATTGGAGAGTGGGCTGGCTCTCTGTGAGTTCTGCCATCATTCATTTTTCTCTCCACCTGCTGGAGCATCAGGAAGATGGATTCAGAGGGGGCTGGTGAGCATGAAGGAGAGATACATTACCATGAGATAAATTCCTCCAATCTTGGGGCAAAGTGGAATCAATTTTTTTCCATGCAAATTAAATTTTTTTGAAGCTTATGCATCTTTTAAAATATATTTATTTATTTTTTTAAGATTTTTTATGTATTTATTCATAGAGATGCAGAGAGAGAGAGGGGGGCAGAGACACAGGCAGAGGGAGAAGCAGACTCCATGCAGAGAGCCCGACGTGGGATTCAATCCAGGGTCTCCAGTATCATGCCCTGGGCTGCAGGCGGCGCTAAACCGCTGCGCCACCGGGGCTGCCATATATTTATTTATTTTTAAGTAATCTCTACACCCAACGTGGGGGCTCAAACTCACAACCCCAAGATCAAGAGTTGCATGCTCTTGCAACTGAGCATCTTTTTAGGTGTCTGTGGCCATCTGTAAGTCTTCTTAGGAAAAAATGTCTATTTGTGACTTGTGCTAATTTTTAATTGGATTATTTGGGGTCTTTTGGTGTTGAATTTTATAAGTTCTTTATATATTTTGGATATTAACCCTTATCGGGTATGTCATCTGCAAATACCTTCCCCCATTAAGTAGATTGTCTTTTTGTTTCGTTGATGGCATCAGCTGTAGAAACATTTTTCTAGATATGTCTCCTTTGGCAAGGGAAACAAACGCAAAATAAAACTATTGGGACTACACTCAAATAAAAAGCTTTTGCATGGTGAGGGAAACCATCAACAAAACAAAAAGTCAACTTATTGAATGAAATCAGCCTTTTTATCTGTTGGTGAGAATCCCTGGCTTGGTGTGGAATCTTTGAGATCTAGAAAATGTGGCCAGGCTGATTCCACCATGAGATCAGCAAATTTAATGAAATAAACATATTTATATAAATCATTAATACATTAACAAAATAAATCAGATTTAGTTAAAGTCCATTCTGCCCCACATTGTGCTGAGCTCTACTTAATAATTCACAAATAGACCATTGGTTTACCCTATGTTGTTGGTGCTTAAAGAGATAAACTCTGTTTAATAGGCCCCTAAAGCCAGATGGCCCCATGCAAGACAACATCCAGGATCCATCCTCAGGAAGTTCCTCTGGCTTGGTGGAAGCTCCTTCCCCAGGCCTTTTTGCCTCTGCATCCCTGAAGCTATAGCTGCTGAAAGTAGTGTCAACAGATGTCATGTCCTTTGATTCCATCTGTTTCTTTAAGTTATTTTTTTTAAGGTTTATTTATTTATTGGGGGGGAGGGGCAGAGGGAGAGAGCATCCTATGCAGACTCTGCATTGATTGTGGAGCCCAATGCAGGCTCAATCTCATGACCCTGAAATCATAACCTGAGCTGAAATCAAGAATTGGACACCCAACCAACTGTGCCACCCAGGCATCCCAATTATTTCTTTTTAAAAATCTGGAGATTTCACATAAAATCTGATTTTCTGGATTATCTTACAAAAATGCATAATGGGCAGCCCGGGTGGCTCAGTGGCTTAGCGCCACCTTCAGTCACAGGTGTGGTCCTGGAGACCCGAGATCGAGTCCCACATCAGGCTCCCTGCATGGAATAGAACCTGCTTCTCACTCTGCCTGTGTCTGTGCCTCTCTCTCTCTGTGTGTGTCTCTCATGAATAAATAAAATTTAAAAAAATGTATGATGTGGCAACACTAGATACCATATTCCCACAAGGTAAGAGTTGACGGGAATAGATTATCACTACCCTATGTTTATTTTTTGTTTTGCTTCTTTTTGTTTAATTTAAATTAACATAGAGTATCTTCTTAGTTTCAGAGGTAGAATTCAGTGATTCATCAGTCTTACATAACACCCAGTGCTTATTACATCACGTGCCCTCCTTAATGCCCACCACCCAGTTACCCCATCCCCCGCCCACCTCCCCTCCAGCAACCCTCAGTTTGTTTCCTGTGATTAAGAGTCTCTTATGAGGGGATCCCTGGGTATTGGCCCGGGGCGCGATCCTGGAGGCCCGGGATCGAGGCCCGGGATCGAGTCCCACATCGGGCTCCCAGTGCATGGAGCCTGCTTCTCCCTCTGCCTGTGTCTCTGCCTCTCTCTCTCTCTCTCTCTCTCTCTCTCTCTCTCTCTCTCACTGTGTGCCTATCATAAATTAAAAAAAAAAAAAAAAGAGTCTCTATGGGGCAGCCGGTTGCTCAGCGGTTTAGCACCGTGTTCGTTCTAGGGCATGATCCTGGAGACCCGGGATCGAGTCCATGGAGCCTGCTTCTCCCTCTGCCTGTGTCTCTGCCTCTCTCTCTCTCTCTCTCTGTGTGTCTCTCATGAATAAATAAATAAAATCTTTAAAAAAAAAAAGAATCTCTTATGGTTTGTCTCCCTCTCTGATATTCTCTTGTTTTATTTTTCCATCCGTTCCTCTATGCTCTTCTGTTTTGTTTCTTAAATTCCACATATGAGTGAGATCATATAAGAATTGACTTATTTCACTTGCATAATACCTTCTAGTTCCATCAATGCTGTTGCAAATGGCAATAGGTCTTTTTTTTTGGTGGCTGAGTAATTATTGTGTGTGTGTGTGTGTGTCTACACACACATCTTTTTTATCCATTCATCTATTGATGGACACCTGGGCTCTTTCCATAGTTTGGCTATTGTGGACATTGCTGCTGTAAACCCTGGAGTGCAGATGCCCCTTCAGATCACTACATTTGTATCTTTGGGGTAGATACCTAGTAGAGCATTTGCTGGGTCATAGGGCGGCTCTATTTTTAACTTCTTGAGGAACCTCCCACTGTTTTCCAGAATGGCTGCACCAGTTTGCATTCCCACCAACAGTATAAGAGGGTTCCCCTTTCCGCATCCTCACCAACATCTGTTGTTTCCTAACTTGTTAATGTTAGCCACTCTGACTAGTGTGAGGTGGTGTCTCATTGTGGTTTTGTCTTTCCCTGATGCTGAGTGATGTGGAACATTTTTTCATGTGTCTGTCGGCCATCTGTATGTCTTCTTTGGAGAAATATCTGTTCATGACTTCTGCTCATTTCTTGACTGGATTTTTTGGTTTTGGGGTTTTCAGTTTGATAAGTTCTTTATAGATTTTGGTGATTCCATCTATTTGGATTCTCCTTGGACACTAGTCTTCAAACTCCTCTTCTATTCTCACTTCTCAAGGTACAGTCATTATTCATGAAGAGTTCCAAGGACTATGTCTTGATGATATTAAGGGAAAGCAGTAGATATTTTTTCTCCATCATTTAGATTTCAGTTTGTCAAACAAATTACTGCTTTTGGTGACAAAGAAAAGGGAATGAAGTCAATGAAGGAATTAATTAGGCATTTATTCATTCAGTGGATTCCCATTGTAGCCACTGTGATGGTTAATTTTATGTGTCAACTTGGCTAGGCTATGGTACCAGTTGTTTGTTCAAATACCAGTTTTGATATGACTGTGAAGGTATTTTTAGACTTTGAGTAAAGCTAGTTACCCTACACAAGATGAATGGACCTTATCCAATCAGTTGAAGACCTTAAGAGAAAAGACTGAGGTCTATAGAAGAGGAACCAGTTCTGCCTACAGCCTGACTGCAGACTGGACTGTAACTCTTCCCTGGGTTTCTAGGCTACCCTAATGTTTCAGACTTGCCAGCCTACAGAATCATATGAGCTAATTCTCTAAAATCAAGCTCTTAAAATCAATCAATCAATTTAATGAGATTTCTTAAAATCAATCTCGTTTTTTAAAAGATTTTTATTTATTTATTCATGAGAGAGACAAAGAGAGGCAGAGACATAGGCAAAGGGAGAAGCAGGTTCCCTGCATGGAGCCCGATGTGAGACTAGATCCCAGACCCTGGGATCACGCCCTAAGCCAGAGGCAGATGCTCAACCACTGAGGCATCTCTTAAAATCAGTATCTCTTAAAATATATGTGTGTATGTGTGTGTGTGTATACATACATACTATTCTGTTTCCCTGGATAACCCTGACTGATACAGCCCTTCTGCAGGATAAAAACAGCAGACTCTGCTTTCTCAGGAACTTAATTTTAAAGACTACGTAAAAGGCTGGATTTTAGTATTGGCAGAATTACCCTCATGAATCTTAAGTTCTCAGTAGGGGACCATCTTAACACAGTATGCTGATGAGTGACATATTAGCTGTCCAAAATAGTTCTCTTCCTTGACACCAGAGATGAGTAGATTGATATTTCTATGTTCATTTTCAATTGAGCATCAGCTAAAATAATCGCTTGAGGATACAGGGCCTTGTTATATCAAACATAAGTACCTAAACTACATCGAACTAAAAAGTTTCTGCACAGCAAAGGAAATAACAGAGTGAAAAGACAACCTACTGAATGGGAGAAAAATATCTGTAAATCATTTATCTGATAAGGGGTTAATATCCAAAATATATAAAGAACTCACACAACTCAATAGCAAGAAATCAATCATTTAAAAATGAGTGGAGGATCTGAATAGACATTTTCCCCAAGAAGATATACAGACATCAGATGACCAACAGATACATGAAAAGATCCTCAGCATCACTGACTACTGGGGAGATGCAAATCAAAACCACAACAAGCTATCACCTCATACCTGTCAGAATGACTAGTATCAAAAAGACAAGAAATAACAAATGTGAGTGAGGATGTAGAGAAAAGGGTACCCTTTTTGGTACAGCCACTATAGAATTGGTGCAGCCACTATAGAAAATAGTATGGCAGTTCCTCAAAAAATTAAAAATCGAGGGGTGCCAGGCTGGCTTACCTGGGAGAACATGCAATTCTTGATCTTGGGGTTGTGAATTCAAGTCCCACAATAGTGTTAAAGCTTACTTTTTAAAAAAGGTGTATTTTGGGGCACGTTGGCTGGCTCGGTAGGAGGAGTGTGTGACTCTTGATCTTAGTGTCGTGAGTTTAAGCCCTACACTGGATATGGAGCTTACTTAGAAAAATTAAAAATAGTACTACTATCTCATGCAGCTATTCCACTTCTGGGTATTTATTCTAATAAAATGAAAACACTGGAATGCCTGGGTGCTCAGTGGTTGAACATCTGCCTTCAGCTCAGGTCATGATCCCAGGGTCCTGGGACTGAGCCCCACTTCAGGCTCCCCACTGAGGGAAGAGCCTGCTTCTCCTTCTCCCCACCCCTCGTTCGTGGTCTCTCATAAATAAATAAAATCTGTAAAAAAAAAAAAGAAAAAGAAAATGAAAACACTAATTTGAAAAGATATATGTGCAACCCCATGTTCCCTGCAGCATTATTTACAATGGCCAAGACATGGAAACAACCCGAGTGTTCACTGATGGATGACTACATAAGAAAATATGGTATACAATGAAATTCTGCTATTTGTAACACCTCGGTGGACCCAAGGGCATTAAGCAAAGTGAAATAAGTCAGAAAGGCAAATGCCATATCATTTCACTTACATGTGGAATCTAAAAAACAAAACAAACAAAAAAACAAGCCCATAGATACAGAGAACAGATTGGTGGTTGCTGGGGAGACAAGTGGGCCAGGGGAGAAACAGGTGAAGAGGAACAAAACAGTACAGTCTTCCAGCTATAAAACAAAAAAGTCCCGGGGATATAAGGTACAGCATAGTCACTATAGGTATTAATACTGTGTTTCATATTTGAAAGTTGTTAAGAGAGTAGATCTTTAAAGTCTTCACCAAAAGAAAAAAAATTTATAAGTACATTTGGTGACAGATGCTAACTGAAATCTAGTGATCATTTCACCACATAAACAAATGTGGAATCATTATGTTGTACACCTGAAACAAATATAATATTATATGTCAATTATATACCTCAAAAAACTTTTTTTTTTTTTTCAGAGAGAAAGCAAGCACGTGGTGGGGGGAAAGGAGGAGCAGAGGGAGAGAGAGAATCCCAAGCTGCCTCCATGCCCAGCACAGAGCCAGACACAGGGCTTGGACTCATGATCTGAGCTGAAACTAAAAGTTGGATGTTTAACCAACTGAGCCACTCAGGCACCCCAAGAGTGAAGAGATTTTTTTGAATCTAAAGGAATAAAAATTGATTCCATACCTGCTATGGGTAAAGTACTGTAATGAAACAAAGGTGAATAAGATGTAGCTGCTCTCTTCAAGGAAGAGAATCTAGTAAGAAAATTAAGACACAGGTAGTACACAGGGCCACATTTTGGTATGTAAATGCCATTACCAACTAAAAGAAACCCAGGATTCTTTGAAAAAGACCAAACTCAGATCTTTGGCAGGGAATGTAGGAGAGGAGTGAGATCTCTGCTATGGAAAGCAAGAGCAAAGACCAGTAGTGTCCTGTCATGAAAACTCAGAACTAATCTGATGGAGCTCCCAAGGCTCCAAGCTGAGAAAATCTGAGTATCAAAACCAATACTGTACAACCTAATTGTCCACTAATGGATGAATGGATAAACAAAATGTGGTACATACACACGACAGAATATTATGCAGCCTTTAAAAGTAAGGAAATTCTGGGGATCCCTGGGTGGCTCGGTGGTTTAGCGCCTGCCTTTGGCCCGGAGCGTGATCCTGGGGTCCCGGGGTCAAGTCCCGCGTCAGGCTCCCTGCGTGGAGCCTACTTCTCCCTCTGCCTGTGTCTCTGCTTCTCTCTATATATATCTCTCATGAATAAATAAATAAAATCTTTAAAAAAAAAAAAAGGAAGGAAATTCTGACAGATACTACAACCTGGATGAACTTTATGCTAAGTGAAATAAGCCAGTCACAAAAAGACAAGCACTATGTGATTCCACTTATAGGAGATACCAGAGTAGCCAGATTCACAGAGAAAGGGAGTAGAATGGAGGGTACAGGGGCTGGGGAAGGGAAATGGGGAGTTCTTGTTTAATGGGTTTAGAGTTTCAGTTTGGAGTGATGAGAAAGTTCTGGAGATGGATGGTTGTAATGGTTACATAACAATGTGAATGTACTTAATGCCACAGTGGCATTTAACTGTGGTATATCTTGCCACAATAAAAAAAAAGTGGCACCTGACTGGCTCAGTCAATAGCGCATGGGACTCTTAATCTTAGGATTATAAATTCGAGCCTCACACTGGGTGTAGAGATGACTAAAAAATAAATAAATGAATGGATGAATGAATGAACAGAAATAATTACAGCCAGGAATGATGATCTGGAGATGGTTGGTGGTGTTGTTTACATAACAATGTGAACGTACTTTTTTTTTTAAGATTTTATTTATTTATGAGAGACACACAGAGAGAGGCAGAGACATTGGCAGAGGGAGAAGCAGGCTCCCCATGGGGAGCCCGATGTGGGACTTGATCCTGCGACCCTGGTCACGCTCTGAGCCGAAGGCAGATTCTCAACCACTGAGCCACCCAGGCATCCCTGAACATACTTTAATGCCACTGAAGTGTACACTTAAAAAGGGTAAATCTGTGTTATGTATATTTTACTGCAATTAAAAGGAAAATGATACTTAGAAATTATTATCACCAGGAAAGATGTTCTCTTAATCTAATAAATACACTATAAGGGTGAAAAAAAGACTAATAACTTTAACTGAAACAAGGGATTATATAAAAAACCGTGAATAGAAAGAAAACATGTGTGAATGGAAGTCATATGAATTTATGCTCACCTCCACCAGAGGCAAAGATAACGGAATGAAATTCCAATATGTGTTTTCTCCAGCTCCATGGGCAGTTCACTCCATTCTGACACTATGTATCTGCGACACTATCTACCTGGGATAGTGTCAGATCCCATGGGTTAAGGGCTCAGTCCCCCTAGACTCCCCCTCCCTCCCCCCACCCACACCCTTCAGATGCCAATTGCAAGTCAAAGTTGTTATCTACGCTCCTGGTCATTGGCTATTAACTGGAGGATCCCACAACTCCCTCCTTGGGCTGCATTAACTTGCTAGTGAGGCTCACAGAATTGAGAGGAACATTTAACTTACTGGGTGATTGGCTCATTATAGAACAGTATAATCAGGAACAGTCAGATGGAAGAGATGCAGAGGGCAAGGTCTGTGGGAAGGGGTGAGGAGCTTCCATGACTTCTCTGGGTGACTGTTCTCCTAGCATCTCCATGTATTCACCAACCTAAAAGCTTTCTGAAACCATTCTTTTGGGTTTTTATGGAAGCTTCACTACAGAGGCATGATTGATGAAATCACTGATTGGCAATTGATTCAACTTCTAGCCTCTTTCTCTTCCCCAAAGGTCAGGGGATGAGACTGAAAGTTTCAGCCTCTAATCATATATCTGTTTCTGGCAACCAGCCATCATCCTTAGGGGCTTTCCAAAAGTCACTGTGTTAACATAAGCTCAAGTGTGCCTGAGAGGGGCTTCTTCTGAATATCAAGACACCTTATCACTATTGTCACTTAGGAAATTCCAAGGGTTTTAGGAGCTCTGTGCCAGGGCTGAGGACAAAGACCAAATACATATTTCTTATTATAAACTGCAACATCACAGACATCTTTAAGGAGAAGTGATGGAGTGTGTCTGTGGGAGGAGCTGTCCAGGCAGAGCAAGGGGCTCAGAGCAAGGGGTGTGGCTGAGGAGCATCACAAGGCCCACTTGTCTAGAAGCAGGAGGGGGTAGTTCATGAATAAGAGATGGGGCAAAAAGCTGCCCAGTGGGAAGACAGGAGGTGGGACATGAGTTCCTGTGGGCCCTTTGACACGTGTTCAACTTCCTGCTGAATGCAGCCAGTAAGGCTGTCGAGCAGAAAGGAGATGATATAAACTTAAAAAAATGCAAATAAAGTGTCAATGAAAATGTGAGGTGTCACAAACTCTCACAACACAGCTGCAGTTGCATAACCAAGTTCATCCAGCCTGGAGGGAGGGGCCTCAGAACACAGAGAACTTAAGCATGTGCCTGTCCATCATGCAGCAAGTTCATGCTTGCACAGGGACACAAAGAAATATGTATGACCTGGTAGCAAAGTCTGTTGGGGTTCTCCAGAGAAACAGAACCAATAGGCTGCACACTGCCTGTGTGCATGTGTGTGTGTGTGTGTGTGTATACACACATATATAATATATATACACATATACAATATTATATATATATATATATATATATATATATATATATATATATATATAAATAAGGAATTCACTCACGTGGTGATGGAGGCTGAGAAGTGGGCAAGCTGGAGAACCAGGAGGGTTGATGTACGTAACAGTTGGAGGGCAGGAGAAGATGGATCCTCTGACTCAGAGATTCAGGCAGGAAAAGTTCCCTCTTATTCAGTCTTTTTGAACTATTCAGGTCTTCAGTTGATTGCATGAGTCTCACCTATATGGGGAATGAGGGGACAACTTGCTTTACTCAGTCTACCCATTCAAATGTCACTCTCATAAAAAAACAAAACAAACCACCACCACAAACAAAAAAAACCTTTACATACAGTCAGAATAATGTTTGAATAAATGTCTGGGTACCCCAGGGCCCAGTCAGGCTGACACATAAAATTAACTATCAGAAAAAATAAATAAATAAATAAATAAATAAATAAATAAATAAATAAATAAATAAAATTAACTATCGGGCAGCCCAGGTGGCTCAGTGGTTTAGCACAGCCTTAAGCTCAGGGCGTGACCCTGGAGGCCCAGAATCGAGTCGGGCTCCATGGAGAAAAGAGCGCTGGTGTATTCATTTTTTTTTTAAAAGATTTTATTTATCTATTCATGAGAGACAGAGACACAGGCAGAGGGAGAAGCAGGCTCCATGCAGGGAGCCTGACATGGGACTTGATCCCAGGTCTCCAGGATCACACCCAGAGCTGCAGGCGGCGCTAAACCGCTGCGCCACGGAGCTGCCCGGGCTTGTGTTTTCAAAAGGTGATTCTGGGGACGCCTGGATGGCTAAGCGGTTTGGCGCCTGCCTTCAGCCCAGGGCGTGATACTGGAGTGTCAGGATCGAGTCCCAGATCGGGCTCCTTGCATGGAGCCTGCTTGTCCCTCTACCTATGTCTCTGCCTCTCTCTCTATGTCTCTCATGAATAAATAAATAAAATCTTTAAAAAACACTACAAAACAAACCCCAAAAGGTGATTCTGCACAAGTAAGGAGGACTAGCTGGAAAGGAGAGAAGACAGAGGCAAGTGTTAACCTTTCCTATGCCATGGATTCCTGCTCTGGATAATATTCCTAAGTGCTGCTATGGTCTGGTTGGTTGTGTCCCCCACAAATTCATATGTTGAATTCCTAACGCCCAGTGTGATGGTAATTAGGAGGAAGGCCTCTGGGAGGTGGCTTAGGTCAGGAGAGAGGAGCCCCTATGAATGGGATTAGGGCTCTTACAAAAGAGACCAACCAGGCAGTGCTCCTAGCCCCTTCCACCATGTGGGGATGCAGCCAACAGAAAATGGCTTTCATCAGAACCTGACCTTGCCAATCCCCTGATCTCAGACTTGCAGGCCCCAAGAACTCTAAGAAATAAATGTCTGTTGTCTATAAGCTACCAGCCTTTAGTATTTTGTTCTAACAGCCCAAACACATTAAGTGCAGAAAATAAGATACACAGATTTACAAAGGAAATATTGTTGAAATCCTAACACCAAAACGTATTTAAAATCTGATATGTAATATAGGGGCTTTCTTTATCAATACAATGAATAACTAGTGGTGAGTCTAATAACTCTTAGGATATCAAAGGAATGATGAATGTAAATAATATTCTGTGTCAGTTGTAATGTGATATAAAACATCTGGAATTTCCATGGGTGACACAGCCATTGGTACTGTTATGCTTTGTTGTCTCATTCATAATTGAAAAGAATAATGAATTTTACTAAGAGGTTGGTGAAAATATCAACCTAATTGCTTTCTCAACAAAATTTAGGACCCCCTGAGTTCTATCCAAGGATACCCTGGGGACACCAGGTAAAGACTCCTGAGCTTGAAGCCGTCTTGTTTACCCTGAAAATCGATACAGCACCGATGGGTGTATTTTTAGGATCTTGCCAAAGTCTGAGAAGACTCCATTTTCTTTACAAAATCTGGGTTCATTAACATATTCTTTGGGGTGAGACAGTTTGGAGTAGGATACTAACGAAGGCTCTGAGTATCTCCCCACAGGTGAGTTATTAATTATACAGAGGAAAAAGTACCCTTATAGCGGAGAACTATCCCAGACATCATAATGTTGACCACCACAGCAAGTGTCCAATACTCAAACACTAACAGGACAAACTGAAATCATGTTACTCCAGACCAAAATGTGGAACCAGAATAATCTCAAGGAAGCAATCATATAAACCCCAATTGAGGGGCCCTCTAAAAAATGAGGCATTTGTCCTCTTCAAAAATGTACATGTCAAGACAAAGTAAGGCGGAGGAGTGCTTCCAGATTATGGGAGATTAAAGAGATTTGACAATTGAATATCTTGCTTAATCCATGGTTGGAGCCAAGTCTGAGAACAAAGGTTTATAAAGGATATTATTGGGACAATCACCAAAATGTGACTATGAGAAATATATTAAGCAACAATATTATATTAATTTCTTGAATTTGATGATTTTTCAGAGATTATACAAGAGAATGTCTTTGTCCTTAAGAGATATACTCTGAATTATTTAGGTGCAAAGAGTATATAATTAGTCTCAGTGATTCAGCAAAAATGTCATTACGTAAGATAGATGTCTCTCTCTATATGTCTGTGTGTATATATATATATCTGGGCGCATACAAACATGTACATATATGGAGAGAGTGTTAATGAGCAAATGGGCCAAAAATGTGAATAGATGAAAGATATAGAGAAAATATATATGGGGATGTGTGAGTCAGGATAATACCTAGAAATCACATTTCTAGGTCAAAGGTAAATACTACATACTTTTGTTAGATATTGCTTTGTTCCCTTCATCAGGGGATGTACCATTTTGGATTTCCACCAGTCAAGTATGAATATCCACTTCCCCACTTGCCACAGAGTAGTTTGTCAAGATTTTGAGTTTTTGTCCCGGTGACGGTGCACTGTGGCTTCAATGTGTGTCTTGTGATGTGCACAGAGCTTGCACTCTTTCACCAGGTAAGTGGCTCCTAAGACATTCTATCAGAGAAATGGCTTCCACTCAGGTTCCAGGTATTCTTTCAACCCCAATCCCTTTTTCCTCCCTGTCTAGACAGATAAGGTTAGTCAGATTGCAGGAATGGGGTCCTCACGGTCGTCATCATCATCATCATCATCATCATCAAATTTGCCTAGAATGAGAGTGGGCACTCGATACATTTGTGCCAGTGGTGCACTTGCATGGAACTGGACAACTTGCCCAGACATTTTGCTTCCATCTCAATCTGCACAGCAATCTCTTCCACTGGGCACACAGACAACACCCTCCTCCTTGAGTGGTGAGGAAAAGGAGATTCAAGGAGATGAAATGGCTTATTCAGCCAGCAAGTGGAGAATACAGGACTAGAGACACATTCGGATTCCTAGTAAGTGCCTGTAAAGTTAGGGAACAGTTCTCAAGACTACCCTCACTTCTGACACCCATAGCAAGTCTAGGGATCCCCACCCTAAGCGCCCCAAGTTCAAGAATTCACAAGAAGGACTATCAGCACTTGCTGAAACCTATTATACTTACTGTTCTGATTTATCACAGTGAAAGGATACAGATTAAAATCAACCAAGGGAAGAGATGCATCAGGTAGGGCCCAGGAGAGTTCCATATATACACAAAGCCTCAGCTGTCCTCTCCCAGTAAAGTGGAGAGTGTTGATTCTTAGCAACAATTCATGACAATATGCATGGACTATTGCCACCCAGGAAAGTTTACTCAAGCCATGAGTGCGGAGTTTTTCTTGGGGCTCTTGGGATCTTGTGGACATGGCTGGCTGCCCACATGGCTGACCTCGGTCTCCGGTCTATCCAAGGCTGAGCCGATACCACCTGACCAAAGCCCTCACTACAAATCGCATTGTTAGACTATCTGGCATGACCCAAGACATCCAAGTAAACAAAATCGCTCTTATCAGGCAGCACATTCTCAGGGTTTAGAGATCACCTCCTGGGGGTTTAGGAAAAAGACCAGATCTCTCTTTGGGCAAGGTTAAATCTTTATTGCATAACGCCCTTTCCTTGTAATCCATTACAACAAGTGGAGTACCTGCACCTCTCAGCGTCTGCAGCCGCACAACTTTGATGGAGAAATCCCAACCTGGCTGCGTAGCAGGACTGGAAAATGGAAACTGAGCAGAGCAGAAGGGAGGAGTGGCATAGGGGAGCGCAGAAGTGAATATAACAACAGCCCTCTGCAAGAAAAAGCAGTCGATTCTGGTGATTGAGAATTTGCGTCCCATACTTTCCTCTGTTCATCATGGATGGAAGGAAAGTGCTTCCTTGACCCCACTTGTTTCTGGGGTCAGGTTCAGCTGGCCTCAGTATCTCTCTCTGATTGAGTGCAGCCAGACCCTTAGGGGGCACACATTTTCAGTTTGGGCAGCCAAAAAGAAAAAAAAGGAATCCAAAAGATTAACAAACCTCATTCTTCATCAAATTACATTTCCTGGTGAGGTACTGTTACAATGAAAATTGGCTTGCAATTTGTGCAAAAGGTGTAAATTCACCTCTTTTTTATTCACTTTTTAAATCTTAGCCGTGGGAATGTTGTTGACACTTGGAAAATTATATTACCTCTAAATAGGACAAAGTTCAATAGAGATGAGGCCAAACCTTACAATAGAGGGGAGGAGGAGAAGGAGGGGCAAGCAGGGAGCTGGGATTGAGAAGAAAAGTCTTGTTCACTTTCCCTCAGAGCTTCCTCTAAGCACAACTCTGTGTCCTAAAGGAGGACAGGAGAACTTCTGTCCAGTTCCCCAAACCAATCCCAGCTGTTCTCGGGATTTTCATTCTCTTCCAGCCTTCCTTGGAAAGGAAGCCACAGCCAGAGGCAACTATTTTATTTCTTCCTAACACAGACAAAAGCTTGGAGAGACCCAAACTCAACACTTGGGTTACCAAAGCCTTGATAGGTGCTTATTGCGGGCACAAGACTGAAATAATGAGAAGGCTTGTCATTAGTGATCGATGCCCCCCTTCCATTACCCTGTCTCATTCCCACAAATGAACCAAAAGCCTCCTCCCAGGCATACTTACTGATTAACAAATATTTACCCATTAATGTCAAGCACCCATTAATGTCAAGCATTGGTGGGAGTGATGATGGGCAGACGCAAATGACAAAAATAAACCAAATACATACTAGCAGGTGGCCACTGTTTATAGGGGAGTAAAACAGTGTTTGGGTGGTTTTCTGGTGGTCAGCAATGGTCTCTTTAAGAAGGCTGACTCAGCTACAAGAGCATGTACCTCTTGATCTCAGGGTTGTGAGTTCAGGCCCCATATTGGGTGCAGAGATTACTTAAAACAAATAAATTAAAAAAAAAAAAAAAGAAGAAGGTGACATTGAAATAAAGGCTTGAAAGACAAGAATGAGTCAGCAATGTTAAGAGCTTCTGTGGGAAAAGAAAAGAGAAACAACCTTGACTTGATGAAGAAGCCCTGACTCACCCCAGAATATGTGGAATCAAATAAGGTGAACTGAACTGGCTGAGATGTGACTTCCAAATGTTTGAAACAGAAATGAATCTCCTTTACAGAAAAATTAAGAAAGCTACAGTGCTCTCCATGAGGAGGAAAGGCAGATTACAGAAAAGGGCCTTGGGCTGCTCTACTAAAACCCACCAAAAAGGCTCCAGGGCTTCCTCCAACACTTGCCCGATGGGTACCCCTATGATTTTCTGCACAGTGAAGTGAGAAGGAGCAGGGACTCTGGCCTCAGAAGGATGAAGCTTTGAGTCCTGGGTTTGTAACCTTAGGCAAAAAGTAATGAGCCAGAGCCTCCCTTTCCTTATCTGTAAAAAGAGTATAATGAACACTCCCACTCACTGGGGCCAGGAGGGCAGCATGCAATGAATGGCCCGGCACACAGGACTCCAGAGAGTGACTCATTGCCACCCAGGATCCTTGGGATGGCCAAGGAGGACAGTTCAGTGGAATAAGCATGGTTCCCTTTGGTGGCCCCAGGGGTAGGGTTAGGAAAGGAGTAAGGAACATCTTTACCCTCTGGTGGGCTCTTTTCTAGCAAACTCCTGGCAAGTACAAAGGGCACTATGCCACGCTGCTGATTATATAACTGGTTGCATAACTGCTTAAGGGAAAACATAACTCTACTGAAGGTTGCGATTTAACAGAATCATTTGTAATTGTTTTAAAATAAACCATTTCCCCACACCAACATGGAAATAGCCACCATAACAGACAATGCAGGTGGCATTGCAACCATCTAGAACATTCTGGTTTCTAGGGGTTGTTCAACATAAACTGAAAGAAAAAGGCAAGAGTCCATCTTTTTTTTTTTTTTTTTTTTTTTTAGTAAATATGTAGACCTATTTTATTTGTTAAGAGTAAATGTCAGGGATCCCTGGGTGGCTCAGCAGTTTAGCACCTGCCTTCAGCCCAGGGTGTGATCCTGGAGTCCTGGGATCGAGTCCCACGTCGGGGTCCCTGCATGGACTCTGCTTCTCCCTCTGCCTGTGTCTCTGCATTTCTCATAAATAAATAAATAAAATCTTAAAAAAAAGAGTATCAATTTTATTTAGGTACACAAATGATCAGAATTCCAGTCCTGGCTGGGTAGCCTTGGGCAAGTTACTTAACCTTTGCTACTCAAAGTGTGTGCCAGCAGTAGACAGATACCTGGGAGCTTGATGGAAATGTGTTACATCAGGGCCCACCCCATATTTGCTGAAACAGAGCCTGTATTAACAAGATCTTCAGGTGATTTTATGCACGTGAGAGGTGGGGAAGCATTCATTGTACTGCATACCTGAAACTACTATAACACTGTATTTTAACTAACTGGAATTATTATTATTGTTGTTGTTGTTATATTTTTTAAGTAATCTCTATACCGAATGTGGGACTTGAACTCATGACTCTAAGATCAAGTCGTATGCTCTACCTCCTGACCAAGCCAGGTGCCTCTTAACCGGAATTAAATGAAAACAGGGGTGTCTGGGTGGCTCAGCTGGTTGGTTGTGTCTGCCTTTTGCTCAGGTCATGATCTCGGTGTCCTGGAATTGAGCCCATGTCAGGCTCCCTGTTCAGTGGGGAGTCTGTTTCTCCCTCTTCCTCTGCTGCTCCCTGCTTGTGCCTGCTTGCTCTTTCCTGCAAATAAATAAGAAAATTAAAAAAAAAAAAAAAAAAAAAACGAAGACTTAAAAAGCCAAAAAAGAAAAAAACAAAAAAAACAAAAAAAACTAGGGAAACATTGATTTAACATCTCCAAGTGTCACTCTCATAAGAGAGGAGCCAAAGTGGCTTTTAAACAAATTAAATATAAATATAACCAGCTTTTAAAACAAATTTGCTAAGTCATTCTCACCAATTTATTCTTCCAAACAAGCTTTCGAATCCTTTGTCAGCATTCCACCAAAAAAAAAAAAAAAACAAAAAACAAAAAACCAACAACAAAACACCCCAGTGGAATTCTCATTAGAATTACATTAAAATATAAAATAATTTGAGAATTGGTATCTTTATAATATTTATTCTTCCTATCCAGGAACATGGGCTGTCTTTCCCATTTATTCAGTCTTTTTACTTTTTATTCAAGTATAACGATTCAATAATTCTATACATTACACAGTGTTCATCCTGATAAAAATACGGAACGCCATGAATTTGCGTGTCATCCTTGTGGAGGAGTCATACTAACCTTTTCTGTATAGTTCCAATTTTAGTATATGTGCTGCCAAAGCAAGCAATGATTTTTTTTTTTTTAGCAAGCAATAAATTTAACCAGCTTTTTAACAATTAAAAATTAAGCAGCTGGCTCAATCTTGGAGCTTGTGACTCTTGATCTCGGGATTGTAAATTTGAGCCCCATGTTGGGTGTAGAGATTACTTAATAAAATCTTTTTAAAAAATTAAGCAGAACAGAAAGTAAAGTGAAAAGCAGGGCAGCCTGGGTGGCTCAGCGGTTTAGCGCCACCTTCAGCCCAGGGCGTGATCCTGGAGACCTGGGATTGAGAGTCCCACGTCGGGCTTCCTGTAGGGAGCCTGCTTCTCCCTCTCCCTGTGTCTCTGCCTCTCCCTCTGTGTGTGTGTCTCATGAATAAATAAATAAAATCTTAAAAAAAAAAAAGTCCTCCTCCATCTCCCAACTCCTCCTCACCCCACAACACCCTACAATTCCTGTCCCCCACTAGCCATTCTCTGAACCTCCTCCAGCTTGGCCTGGTATTGGGTCTTTGTCCTTGGCAGGCAGGCAACCACCACACTCCAGGCATTATTTGCCTAGAGTCTGGGGGGTAGCAGTAAAAAATCACCCTTCCCTTCTATAAGCCAATATGTTCTTCAAAGAAATGCTCACTCTGATCAGGCTGACTGATCCCTCCCTTTCTCCTATAAAGCTCACAGGAGGGCATGGTTCCAGGTCAAAAACTGGTCCAGGGGGATCCCTGGGTGGCTCAGCGGTTTAGCGCCTGCCTTCGGCCCACAGTGGAATCCTGGAGTCCTGGGATCGAGTCCCACATCAGGCTCCCTGCATGGAGCCTGCTTCTCCCTCTGCCTGTGTCTCTGCCTCTCTCTGTGTCTCTCATGAATAAATAAATAAAATCTTAAAAAAAAAAAAAAAAACAAAAACCTGGTCCAGTCACCTCTTAGCAACTTATAAGGAGAGATCCCTACCTCTCTCTTAAGAATGTTAGGGTCAAAAAAAAAAAAAAAAAAAAAAAGAATGTTAGGGTCAGGGGATCCCTGGGTGGCTCAGCAGTTTAGTGCCTGCCTTTGGCCCAGGGCGTGATCCTGGAGTCCTGGGATTGAGTCCCATGTCGGGCTCCCTGCATGGAACCCGTTCTCTGCCTGTGTCTCTGCCTCTCTCTCTATTTATGTCTATCATAAATAAATAAAATCTTAAAAAAAAAAAAAAGAATGTAAGGGTCAGGGTAGCCCAGGTGGCTCAGCGGTTTAGTGCCGCCTTCAGTCCAGGGCCTGATCCTGGAGACCCGGGATCCAGTCCCATGTTGAGCCTGCTTCCCCCCCCCCCCCAATTATTATTATTTAAAAAAATTTTTTTATTGGAGTTCAATTTGCCAACAATATAGCATAACACCCCGTGCTCATCCCAAGTGTCCCCCTCATTGCCCATCACCCAGTCACCCCAACCCCCCACCCACTTCCCCTAACATTCTTTTTTTCTTTTTTTTTTTTAAAGATTTCATTTATTTATTCATGAGAGACAGAAAGAGGCAGAGACACAGGCAGAGGCGGCAGAGACACAGGCAGAGGCCTCTGCCTGTGTCTCTGCCTCTCTCAGTGGAAGAGCCTGCTTCTTCCTCTGCCTGTGTCTCTGCTTCTCTCAGTGGAAGAGCCTGCTTCTCCTTCTGCCTGTGTCTCTGCCTCTCTCTGTGTGTCTCTCATGAATAAATAAATAAAATCTTTAAAAACAAAGAAAAAAGGAATGTTAGGGTCTTGGAGGATATGGGTCACTCAGTGGGTTAATCAGCTGCCTTCGGCTCAAGTCATGATCTCAGGGTTCTATGATAGAGCCCTGAGTGGAGAGGGTGTCCCTGCTCAGCGGGGAGCCTACTTCTCCCTCCCCCTCTGCTCCTCTCCCCTGCTCATGCTCTCTTTCTCTCTCAAATAAATAAATAAAACCAGAAAGAAGAAGAAGAAAGAAAGAAAGAAGAAGAAAGAAAGAAAGAAAGAAAGAAAGAAAGAAAGAAAGAAAGAAAGAAAGGAGGAAAGAAAGAAAAAGAATGTTAGGGTCTTGTAACATGTCACTGCTATTCTTGGTTTGGAGCTTCAGCTGATATTCCTGGATAGGGGTCTGTTACAGTCTTCCAAATGTGGCAGTCTGTGGATTGATCCCAGAGACCTGATCCATCTCAGTGATCATTTCATGATCATTTCATGGTCAGATCCTTCAGTATGAATGTGACATGACTGAAATAGGACTTCGTATTAGTTTGTCACCTGGGCTTCTGACCCACCAGCTATAGACTGGAGGTTCCAAGGACCCTTTCCTTGGCCTTGATTAATTTGTTAGGGCGGCTCACAGAACTTAAGAGGAACACATTACTTACTAGATTTCTGGTTTATTATAACTCAGGAACAGCCAAGTGGAAGAGATGCACAGGGCCAGGCTTGGGGAAAGGGCGTGGAGCTTCCATGCCCTCTCTAGGGGCGCCAATCTCCCTAAATCTTCACGTGTTCACCAACCCACAAGCTCTCTAGACCAGTCCTTTTAGGTTTTTACGGAGACCTATTGGATAGGCTTGAATGATTAAACCACTGGCCACTGGTGATTGATCCAGTCTCCAGTCCTTCTCCCTAGTGTAGGTCAGGGACTTCCAGTTCTAACCGTCTCATCACATGGCTGGTTCTCAGGGCAACCAGTTCCCATTCTTAGGTGCTTCCAGAAGTCATTTCATTAATGTTCTTATCACTTAGGGAATTCAAGGGGGGGCTTTGGGCCAGACATGGAAGACCAAATATATACACAATCACAGTAGCACACTTGACACAAATATCCTTTCCTTAGCAAAATGCAGAATTGAGGAATATAAGCAGCCTGGATTTTCTTTTGATACCAACTAATTTATTTATCAAATATTTATTCATTTATTTTAAAGATTTTATTTATTTATTCATGAGAGACACAGAGAGAGAGAGAGAGAGAGAGAGAGAGAGAGAGGCAGAGGGAGAAGCAGGCTCCATGCAGGGAGCCCGATGCAGGACTCGATCCCGGGTCCCCAGGATCACACCCTGGGCCGAAGGCGGTGCTAAACCACTGGGTCACCCGGGCTGCCCCATCAAATATTTATTAAGGGTTTCCTCTGTGGCAGCGCTATACTGGCACTAGAGATATTTGATGATGAACAAGACAGGCAAAGTCGAAGTTGAAGAAAGACACCCGTATGAGATGGCTTCCGATTGTTTTTAATTCTGGAGGAAAAAACTCTCTGAGAACTGAAAATTTTACCTCTCAGTCTTGTGGAAAGTAAACTGAGGCACATTAAACATTTTTAGACTTTGAGCAAAAATCGACTGGAATCAGACAGCAGCATCCAATCTAGCAGACAAGAGTCCTGAGATGCTTCACAAAATGAAAGACTCTTATAGTCAGAAGGCAGCAGGAAGAAGGAAGTTATATGAGGCAAAAAAACAGGCTGGTTGCTTCAAGGTTACTTTCCTGTAGGGCATGGCAAGGGGTCTGTCAGGGGGATACCTAACTAGCACGATTCCTGACTGACTGGTTTAAGATTCCATTTCTGGGAGCACCAAGACTGTAATTCAGTTAAGTCTTGGTTTTGTGATGTGGGATTTAGCATAAGCACCCCAATATTAGGCTGACTGCCTTGTTTTTAAGTCCCAACCAAAGGTGAATCTTGTATCTTTATAAAGATTTGCTTGGGAGTATTTTCAATAGTTCAGCATTTTTAAAAACTATACTAATTTTGGAAAAGCTCACACAGTACATGATCATGGCCAAGTCAAATGGCCCTAGAAGGTACACAGGTAAGAGTCTGCCCCTTGCTCGTCACCCAACCCCATCTCCTGCTCCCTCCCCCAGGATTGGTAGGTGAGGTTTGGGCTTAACGCCTCCTAGCCAGCTCTCCTTCCTCCTCAGTCCCATCTGAGATCTTTGGACCAGAGGGTCTTGGCTTGTTGGACAAAGGGGGAGGAATGAGGACAAGTCCCCAGGCCCAATGGGAGGCCCTGAGTTCTCATATCCAACTTGCTGTTTGGAGTAAAGACATAGAAGTCATTCATTGTCAAATGCTTATTGATTGCCAGACACTGATCCAGACATTTGGAATACACCAGCCAATAAAATAGACAAAACTCTGCATTCATGAGAGCTTACATTCTAACATGGGAGGGCAGAGTGAAAAATAAACATGATAAGTAAATTACGGGAATTAGCCACCCTTCCTCCTTGGAGGTGAAGAGCTAGGAAGGGGTGGGCTGATGAGGGCCTGAGGTTAGACCAGGGCAAAAACATCTCCCTTGGGATGCCTGGGTGGCTCAGCGGGTGAGCATCTGCCTTTGGCTCAGGACATGGTTCTGGAGTCCCAGGATCAAGTCCCACATCCGGCTCCCTAGAAGAGCCTGGTTTTCCCTATGACTGTGTCTCTGCCTCTCTCTGTATCTCTCATGAATAAATAAATAAAATCTTTTTAAAAAATCCCCCTTCTCACTACTCTAATTGGAAAGAGCTTAAAGCTGGGAAGTATGAGTCCCTCCTTCCTTAATCATCTACAATGCAAAGCCACCACCAATGCCTCTAATACGAACAAGCAAACCCTAACAATGTTCTCTTGTGCTTTCCTTCAACAACAAAAATGAAATAGACTTCACAACACACGGGTCCAGTGAATCACCCATTTTTCTAGAACACTCCAAGCAGTATTCTGCACTATCACTTCTGGACAAGGAGCCATTTCTGATTTCCAGTAAGACTTCTTATAGCCAGTAGGTTGGAGATGTGGCCCAGTGTGAAAGGAGCGAGTGTACACTGGTCACAGGGCCACGGTCCTGGGTATGCCCTTGTGTGTGAAATTATCTGGTGTGAAACAGGGCAAAAATCACCCCTCTTCACTGGTCCTTTACTCACTTACCTAATTTTTAACTGTGGTAAAATATACATAACGATTACTGGTTTTTAAAAAAAAAATTTTTTTTTAATGTTTTACTTATTTATTTGAGAGAGACAGAGAGAGAGCACAGGCAGTGGGGAGGAGCAGAGGGAGAGGG